ATTATTGTTATCATTATTACATTGTATTATTATCATCGTCATTATTATTTTTTATATTTTAGCAAGCGTTATTGTGTATTGCTCAAGGACACATTTCAGGCTCCACAAGGGTCACCGACACTTGCTTAATATTATTTGTGAATCTGAACTAACTACTCACTCGGACACTAAAACCCTTCTGTAATTGGTCACATTTAAGGACCAGTGGGCTATCCCGGAAAACGCTGTTTTGAGAAAATCGAAGATAAAGTTTCTGCCCCATGTTCAGTTTCATGAAAAGACGAGGAGAGTTTTCTCTATAACCAAACAAATACATGTATACACACCTATAAAACCAAACTTCTCCTATAGGTAGTGCAATGCCCATTTTTTGTGTAGGTCAAGATTTCTGGAAACCCCCGAAATCTGGGTTAGCTCACTTGTCCTTAAAAGCGACGGATTATTCTATTGGTTGCGTGATCCCCGCTAGCTATGACGGGCTGACCCGGACCCTGCTGTCTTCCCCATGCTTAATTTGATTTTTAGGAAACAGCTTCTCAGATTTCCGCGGAAACTCTGTGCACAGTAAATATTTGTCATTGTCTTCCGTGATGGGCTCCTTTTGACATTCAAACTGCCCGTTATGAATTTCCTGTCGCGCCCGTCTTTGTTTTTTTCCTCGAATGTTTATTTTATTATATTTGATTATATTATATTTTGTTTTATTTTATTTTTTTGTCCTGCTGCTTTTTTGTAAACCGGCGTCAGTGGTGAAGCGTTTAGGCGCCTCGCTGTTGCACGCAGGAGACCTCGGGAATCCATTCCCAAGTAGAGAGAAGCGTTCTGTCGAGTATCTTGGCCTTTCTGCTGGGATGTAATGTTGCATCCCTCTCAGCCTGGGTTGGCCCTGACAGACAATCAGAAGCCCGCCTCCTAAATGGTCTTAACTGTGTAGATGTGGGGCGTAAAAAGCACTTACGTTTTAAAAGAAAATGTAATTGTCTTCCTTGACAGGTTCATTTTGACATTAAAACAGCACGAAGTTCATTTCCAGATGTGTTCGTTGTTGTTTTTGTTTTTGTTTTTTTCTCGAGTGTTTTATTTTTGTTTTCATGCGGCGGCATTGTTGTAAAGGGAAAAAACAACAACATAACATTGGAAACAGTGCATGTTGGCGGGTGCTCTGCTGTGGTTTGCTCCTTCTTTCCTTTAAACATCTATCATTTTCATCTCTCCTCCTTTTTTCCCCCTTTAGGTGTTTCTTTCTAATAACATCCCTATACTTAGGCACTTATATGACCTAACTGTGTCGCAAATGCCGTAAAACTCTTACTAAAACTAAAAACTAAGTACCTCAACATTTCGGCACTTTGTATGACCTAACCGTGTTGCAAGTGCAATAAGACTGTAACAAAAGTGAACTAATTTGTTTTGAATCCGCGCTAGAAAACTGTTGATGACTACTATTGTATTTCAGTTTTTCTTTGACAAACTCGAACAAACCATCCCGCGTGTGAGATTTTTGTTTTAAAAAAATTTTTCTTTCTATTCTCGTATGCCAGGTGCGGTGTGAAGAGAACAGGGAGCGAAGTTTGGAAGACAACTTTCGAAAGTCAGTGGAAGGCACAGAGAAGGAGAAATATGGTGAGATTATTATTTCTTTTTTTAAAAGTACGTTCTTTCATTCATGATCAAGAAATATCCGAATATACGATGGTATTGAATTACAGAGATCAGTATTTTATCCACAGTGCGATAGATAGCATAGCAAATGATACCATAGCAAATGATACCGTATCATAGAAATTTTGAGGTTTCGAGAGGTTTCCAGTGGTTGGGAGGTTTCGGTTGTTTTCGGGAGATTCTGGTGTAAACAAGTACCGTTTTTCAAACCTGGACTTATGGCCTCCTGTCTCAGACAATCACATGTACAAATGACCACTCCCCCTTCCCACCCCTTCACCCTTCCCTTACATTTTTTTGTGTATGTATCATAACGACATTGTTTAAAATGTGGACCTGTCTAAGTCAGCCACAGTTGTCCTTGTTTGAGAGTGGCTGTCTTGAACAATTTTGACTGAAATTATTTTCTTTCTGTATTTGTTGTACTTGTTTTCTAATGGTATAACACACTGATTATTTCTATCGACTTCTTTTTTTATTTGTTGCCTTTTCAGAACTCAACCGCAAAATTACGCGACTGACTTCAGAACTGGAAGTTGCCAAGTCAGAGAAGGCACATGCTGTAAACAGGCAAAAGATTTTGGAAGAGAGAATTAAGGTGAAGGAAAGGGGATAGTAGAGTCGAACCTGCTCTAAAGGCCACCTGTATAAGACAATTACCTGTGCAAACGGCCACTCCCCCCCCCCCTTTTTGTGGGTTTTTTAAAGTTGTTTTTTCAATTGAGAAGTAACAGTCTTACATTTCTCCTGGACCATGGGTGGCAGTCTTACACAATATCGGCTGTACATATATCGTCGGTGTCCCAAGCAATCCACCTATGCACTTTTGGGTACTTTTTATGCCCGAGACAAAAAACTAGTTTTTGTTGTGTTGTTCCCAGGAATCATGAAAAGCCAGAAAATTGTAAGCTTTGACCAAGGTAATAAACTGCATTTTGGGGATGTTGAAAAGTGCTTCTTTGATAGGGCTTTGAGGGGGTGTAAAAATAGAAAATTCTCAAAATTGAGACTTAAGTGGATTGCTTGTGGCAGCGAGCATATACCGTCTTTTGGTTTCAGTTGTCATTTATTTTCTTGAGTAAGACGTGATAACCGCTGCTCTCATACATTGTGCTGCACTGTTGCAGGCAGGTCTGGCGTGTTTGTGGGATTGTGGTAGATATACTAAGTAGTGTGATATATCTGAGAGAGAAGCCCAGAAGCTGCGCTCATCCACATGTGGAAATGGAGCTTTTAAATGTTCAAAATGTGGCAAACTTTTCTCCTCCAGACTAGGTCTCATCAGCCACAGTAGAAGTCACAAGTGATCTTAATGTTAATGTTTAATTCTTCAAATTCTTCCATTTCGCTGGAGTAATATTCTCTTCTGTGGATATATTAATCATCGTCAGACATAGACGGACGAACTATTATTATTATTATTATG